CCTCCCATCGGTTGGTGTCTGTGGAGGTTGTAAACCTCAGTTACTGTGCGAGATGTGAAGGGTCTTCCCTGAATGTCGTCTGGTTTGCCTGACTCTCAAGTTCATGTTCATGCACATGTTGGATGTGGGGTCATTTCATGCATGTAGGCTGATACCATATGAGACGTTAAGAACACAGTGATGAACCTGGATCAGATGAGATCTGGAGACAGTGCTCAGACCATAGATAAATGTGGGCACTGGTCTTTGTTATAATTAGCCAATTATGGACGTTTTTTGCCTGCATCCAAAATTGCTTGCGTGTTATGTAAAATCTAAGTGTGCAAGTTTTATCAAGTGGTACATGGTATAGTTCAAACGAATTAGATGTGTATTTGAAAAATGCTTCAGTTAAAAACTCCAAGGTGTATCTCTGTAGAAATCAAAGCTACAGAATTGTCAAGAGGCTGATGATGTCATCGTATTGTCATGTTGGTTTACAATTGGCATTTTATAGCCAAAGCTGTTTCTTTATATTCTGAAAGGGGGTCATTAAGACACCATTGAATAATTTTGATCCATTTGTTTCCTTTGTAGATGCGAATGAGTTTGGAGGATTTGGTGTCCAACTTACAAACAACCTCAGTGCGCATGGAGGGAAAATTGCAGGTACAAAGCCTTCAACGCAATTCAAATGGAAATTACTGGAGACATCTGCACTTTTCACGGTGTGAAATTTGGCTTGATGTTCGGTTCCTTCAGCTCTTGTCCTGGCATCAGGTTCTGAATCCGAGAACTCTGTTCCCTGTCTCTCTCCAAGAGCTCTTCTGAAAACTAGTCATTCATGTAACAATCGTACCTGCCAACTGGTACGATTTATGCCCTATTCTCTTCGGGAACTTATTGGAAATACGACTGTATGTTTTTTCCCCCATAATATACGGATTTGGGCCATTTCAACACGCCTGGAAAAATTGTGATTTAACAGTCGCTTGTTTACATTATACTCGAAAAATGGCTGCGAGCGTAGAGTGTAAAATGGAATTTTTCGCATCAATCTCTGAAACACTACAGGATGGAGTGCCGTATAATTCACATGATTGAAATAACTGGACATGTACGCTGTGAGAGCGAACAGTATGGTGCAGGCAGTTTTCGGTGCAGCTCGAAGCGCAGGTCTCATGTGTAAATTGCATCCTGGAACCATGTAATCATTGTGCTGTGATTGGTTGTCAATGAAATATCAATATTTATATATATGTGTCAGTGGGACTCCTTTCAGCCGTTCCTGCATCATCGGAAATAGTTACTATCGATCTCCACTATCACGTGTGGTAGCATACATTTCATCGTAAATTAGCGGCTTGAAATAAGGGTAGTAAATTTTCGCTTTCTCGATTAGAGGGCCTTGTGACAACTAGTGCGGGGCAATTATCGCGTGCTTCTTACATGCTCTACTTGCATTGTTTTGTATGAGATTTCATGGACGCTTCGAACAATTTGGGGACATAAACTCAGCACAATGTCAGTGCAACACACATGTATAAGTTGTCCAAAGAAGCTCTGACTTGGATTCAAACTTTGACAAGACCGATCCTCAAGTTACAAATCTGCGGTAATGGAAGTGGATGGAATACACTGTAGACAGGCAGGCGACTCAAATCTGCACCTGGAAAATCCAAAAGCCTGGATATGCGATGTACATTCTTTGTAACAAAGAATTCATATTTTGAAAACGTGCTCAATTTAGGTGGGAAGAGGGCAACTCCTCTAAGAACCGCGATAATGGATTTCTCGCGGGATTATTTTCATGCACGAAGAACTGTTGACCCAATCCAGAGGTAGTCATACCGATCACGGAGGAATATGCTTATTTTTTTAAAAGAATGATTTTTTAATGAAAAATACAAGTTTTGGATTTTCAGAATACAGTTTTGTGATCTTAGAGGTTGGCAGGTCTGGTGTAAATGTAGTCTTGGGTTTAGTGAGAGTTTTGGACTTATAACATTGAACTGTGTCTATGCTGCATTGTTGGAAGTCTTTATCTATCAGTATGGGATAATCCGCATTTTGTGGCCCATGATGTAGGGACAGTTTCTGTAGGAAAAAAATTACTTCTCACAGTACGAAGTGAAATTTGGTCCGACCACAAAACTGTAACTCCCAGAAATAAAACTGAACAAAAGGACAAACATTGAATGAGAAATCATTGGCTTTGTTTGTACAGGAGGAGACAGCCAATCGGAGTCTGTTTGCCAAAGAGGCCGAAGACCACAGAGGACTCTGGGAAATGGAGGTCAAATCGAGGTCAAGACTTGGGCTTAGGGTGAGTTTCCGATGACAGTGTTGGTCTACAAGTGTTTTACCTTTCCACTTATCACAAAGTTACTGGCAACAACTGCATCCCTTACTCAAAGTTCCTTCATGGTGGACATGAAAACATGATCAAATCGCATTCCATGTCATGTAAAAGCAAAGGCATTGTGGCTGCTATTGTACAAATTGGGCCTGGATGCTGCCATTATTGGGGGGCGTCCTCGTGTACAAAAAATCATGAGCCTGGACATCTATAAAGGATTGTATCTTGCAATGTGATGTTTCATTTCAGATTGCCCAGTTGGAGAGAGCCAAGACAGAGGTACAGGCCCAAGTGGATGAGGTTAGCTTTTGCACCAAACTTTGATAGGATTTTTGTTCAGTTCTGTCCGCAGCTTTTTCATGTTGAAGAATTTCTACCCACCACCAAACTTTCCTACTTTGTCATTGTAAACAAAAATACAAGTACCCATAGTTGGGAAAGGAAAGAAATAAGGGCCCAAACACAAGATTTGCAGAGTTTTTGCAATTGCGAAGCACTCGTCAAAGTATTAATGAAAGATATCTCTGCAACAACTGAACTGATTGGACTTCATTCACGTTACAGGAAAAGAAGAAAGTCCGTAAGATGGCAGAGTTGAAGAGAAGCTACGAGGAGAGATGGCAGAATGAAGTGCAGAAGTAAGACTTGATGATTCACGGACTGATTGGAATCAGTCACTCCTTCTCTAAAAGTTTTTCATGTTGATCTTACGTGTGGTCGCTAAATGTTTGTCAAGTCACTCCATTAGGGGAGCTGGTTTTTGTGCGGAAGTCTCTCAACGATCCTGCGAGCTCTGTATTTTGACTACTGTCGTCTCTACTCTTCTGGTCGTGTAATTATGGCTGCGTTCAAGCACGTTACTTGTGCTACCATGAGTACACTCCTGAGAGCATGCACGGCAGGAGCATGACCTGTGAGTAATAGTGAGAGCATACTCGCAGTCAGGCCAGGAGTATACTCTTGCATCCCATGCTTTTTTTTCAAGATGGGGGAAAGGTGGACATGTGGGATGTGATCTGAGAGTAATACTCGTGCATCATTTTCCTTCATCCCTGAGTGTCGAGATTAGCAGGCAGCCTCGGTTTTAAGATGAAGTAACATTGGATCTGTGCTTTCACTGCATGGCAGTTCTGTCTATAATGAAATGTCACCTGCTTTTTCCAGGACACAACTTCAGGAGCAAGAGATCAACACCTTGAAGGCCAAACTGAAGACGGCCAAGAAAAAGCTCAAGGTAAAAAATCAAAAACAAAACAGAACACCGTGGCATTATTCATTTCCTAGAGTGAGGAAAACAAAAACCTAATTTGGGCTGTCTTCAAAATTGAGATGAATTATTGTTATACAGAAATGTTCAGAAAAGCACCAAGGACAGCTCCCCGCCTGAAGTCTTGTTTGAGTCTTAAGAAAATTAATAATTCACATCTCAGTTTTGAAGTCAATTTTCTGTGTTAATTTGAAGGATTTGGAAGTCCCCGAGTTGCGTCTCAACACCTTGCAGACCGGCTTTGAGCGGGAACGGCTGAACATGGAAGCAACAGTAGCCACACAACGGAGACAGGTAGAGTCAGACTTGTGAATTTCAAATCAGAAAAAGTCCTTCACGAAAACGCCCGCCTACTAGAGAGGGGAGTGTCCGTAATTACTGGCACCACTCTGTTCTCCTTCAGCCCTTTAGTGCTGCCCGCAATTCAAGCCGTACGAACACGGCTGCTGCTTGTTTTTGGTCCATACAGCAGCCCAAATAGATAACGGCAGTGCAAGGGCACCATTGAGATTGCAAAATAGAAGGCAATGCACTGCCCAAGTTTGTTAGCAAGGAAGCATGCAGGAGCCTTGTGCTGCTGAGCTCATAGAACGGATGAAGTATTTTTTGGCTTATGCCATCAGGAGTTAGTCGCATGGTACCAAAAAAATCATGGAAATGTAAAACAACAACACATGCCTGTGTTTTTATACCCGAGTGCCTGTGAATGCACCTGTGAAGTTTCAGCCTGCTTCATTTCATGAAGCAACTTGAGGGGAAAATTCAGTAAAAGATGTCTTTACTTCCACGAGCACATTCTTATTTCATGTGAGGTTAGAGGAGCATTTTTGGAATGAGAATTGATTGATAATGTCTGTTGTAGATTGACGACTTGAATCAACAGTTAGAGCGAGAAGCCTCAGTGAGGGTGGATGTGGAGAAACAAAATCGGCAGCTTCAACAAGGTATGGTATCCAGGCTCTGTATCCCCGTTGTACGCAATATCCTGTTTGCTTTCTTTCAGCAAGAGTTGGATCCAGACTTGCCCCACTGTTTTGTGCATTTTAGTGAAAGTTACATGTCCTGCTGGTAATATCAATACGTGATGGCTTTTGTTTATTTCTTTGGCCTTTGCATATGTCTATGCCACATTCCTTTTTACATTTGTAATCACATTTAAAGTTCAAGCGTGTCATTTTGTCGAGTTTGCCTCTCCCATCCACATTTTCTACTTTGATTTCTGTGACTTCCAGAGTTGTCATCAGCAAAGACCCACGAGAAGGTAGGATTTCTCATGTCTGTTATTCAAGGGAACATATTTTTGCCCTCCCACGACTACTTTTAAAAAATTTATGTTAGAGGTTCATACCGTTTGCAAATGCTTGATTTTGCTTGTGCGATTAGAAATAAGTAATTTTGAAAATTAAACGCACAAAAACATTGAACGGCAGCACAACCATTACTCAACATTAAGCAACATCTCACATGAAAGAACAGTTTGGATTTGCTTTGTTCAACTGTGGCACATCTCAAGCCCTGCAGTTTGATTTTTTCACAAACTGGTCACCTCTGTCACGATCCAGCATTAATGTTGTGGGAGCCTTGCTCAGATGCAGCTTGAAACTGGAAACCATTTGGCATCGTGCAGTTTCTGTGCTTTTGTTCAAGTCCATCCCACAATGCTTTGCACCAGTTTAGGGTCCCACCAAGGTAGGAGGTTTCATGAAATGGCTGATGGCATTTTCATCATTCCATTCATTCTTCATGCGTTAGGGTAAAGACAAGCTAGAGAAGGCCAAGAGAAAGCTAGAAGATGAATTGGTTCAGATGAAGGTAATAAAAATTACAAAGCAACACCTG